GTGCCGTGGCGTTTGTATATTTTTTTGTAGTTGAGCATCATCTTGTGGCGGTAAAAACGCTTTTTTTCAATCGATAGTGGTAGATCCGAAATGATATTTGGTCTGGTCGTTGTGCGTGATGCTAGCCTTATATATAATTCATTTATATTTAATTCATTTACTGCTCATGGGGCAGAGATCACAGTTGCGACAATTGCATGTCTGATCATCAGGGCTACCATTTCTTCTAGTGTTGTTTAAGTATTTGTTAAGGATTACATTATAATGCAGGAATAAATATTGTTCAAATTTTTGGTGCAGCTGTAGCTAATTTTAAAGTTGTTCTTATTGAAGAGTTTTTTTTTTTTAAAGTGAATATGGCTGAAATGCTTGTGCACCAAACTGATAAAGGTTCTACTATGTTAGTCCTAATGCTACAATTGAAGATTGGGCTAAACCAAATGATGTTGCGTTTTCTATTTTTAGACTTACTATTGTTATTAGTACTAATGTTAAGAATGTACTTTAGGTCGACGTTGTGCTTGCTTTTCTGTAATGCATCTCCATATTTGATTTTGCATGTATCGAAGATATGTTTATTGCTGGAGTTGATGGATAGGCTATAGTGTACAGATTTGTGTAGATTTCTAAGTATACACAGTGGATGGTTGGATTCCTTACTAATAGATGCATGATTGTAAAGTTTCTTATTAAAAGGAATGAACACTCCTCAAGATAATTCGAACGTGGTGTCTAAAAAATCTATCACCTAGGCGTTGGTGATAGTGGTGATGTTAAGTTCGTGGTCCTTAAATTTTATTAGCTGTTTCCTAAGTCTGTCATTTTTTTTTGGGTGGGGAGTTGCGTAGTAGGATCATTCCGTCGTCCCTGTACAGTCCGGTGCTCTCACTATTGAAAATATATCTAAGCCTCTATAGGAGCAATATGGCGACTAGTTAACAGGCTTCTGCGGAGTCAAACGCGCCCATCGCTATAGAGGAGTTGGGATTTTCTTTATTGACCCATAAAGAACCGTTATGGTATAGAATATGCTTATGGGCTTGTATAATTATTCTGATATCCTCGTCCGTCGATGGGGCAATAATTCTTAGTTCAATAGCGGCCATTAGTAGGTTTTCAGTGATCGACGTGTAAAAGTTGGTTATGTCGAATTGCGTAAAGGTGCACTCGTTTTTAATATTAGTGAGTTAACATAGAGCATCTGTGGTATTTCTCCAATGATTGACCCCTGTTGCATTCCTGGTGTAATTATATGCTCGTTCAAGTATGTATTTGCTGATTTTGTCTCTTATTCTTGGAGGGCTTAAGCAAACGGAACTGTGGATTGTTGGCGGAATTGCTCTTATGGTCCTTAACGATAATAAGAGTTTATGGAGTTTGTGCATTGTGTCATCGACCTTAATTTTTTTGTCTGTTGTTCGTGCCTCGCTGTTCATTATTTTCCCATTCTTTAGGGGCCTTCTTCTATACTTTGTGGACTTCCTTAGAAATGGCTTTGTGGCAATCAGCCACGTTATAGAGATAGTGATTGCCAGTTTCATCGGATTTCATGATTATATTGTTGGAGTTACGTATCTTGGTAATACATTTTTTTTCCTTTTTAACTCTAGGCTATTGTGTTTGTTAACGTATTTAATTTTATAAATTATGGAGAATAAATCCTTTCGAATTCGAAGAGTAGTTCGTCGCTGGGTGGTGTTTTCAGGAACCTAAAACCAAAGGAGTCTAGATTCACGTTCATCTGGGTGTAATCGGTATAGTGATCACTGTAGAGAAATAGTATAGTGAATAGTATAAAGAATAGTGATCCGTATATTAATAGAGCATTGAGTAGGAATAGTGATCCGTATAGTAATAGAGGATAGAATAGAAATGGTGATTAATTAGACGTCACGCTACTTTCTATCTATGCGTTTTCCTTTATGGTCACTTGATCTATTTAATTCAATAATGGGATCGCCTCTGTTTACTCTCTGGCAATCTATGTTCAAACTCAAGTGTCGGCAGCTACACTTTATTTCTATATAACTGTTATGGTGCGGTTCCTTGTACCCCGGGTGATAGTCCAGGGTAGAACCAATAAAGAAGAACTCGAAGGCGGATATAGAATAACACAGATATATTACAAACATGAATATATACAGAGAAGTAGAAGTGTTAGTACGAACAATCGGGTTTAGTAGTAATTGTCTGAACGCGACTCTGTTTCGGACTGCCTCTGACTCGACTGACTGACTCGCTCTCTCTGACTGACTTTACTCCAGAATTCAGACTGAACTGTATTTAGTCACCCCCCACGAGGGAATCATGTGGCACAAGGCCGGTTTAACGTGGGATCTCCGAGCCCGTGGGATCTCCGAGCCCGTGGGATCTCCGAGCCCGTGGGCTCTGCCAAAAATATGCCCTTTTAACCCGTATAAACTGGTTCAGGGTTTGTTTACCTCCCCGAAAGCGACTCCGCCCTTCGGCGAAGCCTCGTTCGGGTTCCTCCCCGTCCGAAGGCAGAGAGTTCAACCGATCAGCCGGTCGCCCGACTTCGCACTGAACGATATTCAGTCACCCGCCCACGCGGGCGTCATGTGGCACAAGGTCTTTTTAACGTGGGATCTCCGATCCCGGGGGCTCGGCCAAAAATATGCCCTTTGAACCCGTATAAACGGGTTCAGGGTCGGTTTACCTCCCCGAAAGAGACTCCGCCTTTCGGCGTAGCCTCGTTCGGGTTCCTCCCCGCTCGAAGGCAGAGAGATCAGCCGATCAGCCGATCAGCCGGTCGCCCGACTTCGGGCTGAACTCTTGCTTCCTCTTATTACGTATGGAATAGTCCATTATGTTATTATGGGCAGTCCCATAACAATAACAATAATAAATTCCAGTCATGTGTGAAACGCAATTACTTGTTAAAACGCTACCTACTGCAGAAATATGGTCCAACCCATTATGATGTCTATTATAAAGAAAAGTAACTGCACAAACATCTTCCAAATATATGAATCTACCACTCATATGTACATACAATTTTGCCGTCATATCTAATTCGGTTTTCCTGCTATATACCTCGAGAATTCCGGAAAAATACAAAGAAGGCTCTGTAAAGTTAATGGTCTTGACCTGGTATCCACACTTCTTTCGTATTCCCACCGACGTGACGTGGCTTCCCTCTGTCTTTTCTATGAATATTATCATGGCAGATGTTCTAATGAGCTCTCCTCCTTGCTATCTCGACTGCGCGAATTTAAGCGCATTACTAGATTGGCATCCAGGTATCATTGTTTTACTGTGATGCTAGCTAGATTTACCCATAATTTCTATTTTAATGGTTTCTTTATTCCCATTTCTCACCTGTGAGTCTCTCAACCGGTTTCTTGCTTCCCTGTCAACGACAATCTTCAAAATTTTAAATGCCGCGTCAATCGCCATTTTCTGACATTTTAAATTCTTTTTATTGTCCTTTCTCCTCACCTTCTCATTCTCTTTCACTGCAAGTAGCCCTTTGCGTCTAAGCGGTATTATCGCCTTGCTTGGCTTGAAATGATTTTTTAAAAAAATCATTATTCGGTTAGTGTCGCACATTGATGTCGTCATTGCAAATTATGTTCTTGAAGGATGGCGTCAATAAGATGCTTGGCAAAGCAAGAACCTTCTGAAAAATCCTCGCAAATTAAATGATTGCAGTTGTCTGGGGATCTATATTCTTGGTGTCAGTTCAAATTACTGCTCGGTGTATTTTTTTCAGTTTTTAAGAGCATATATTTGTTCGATGTGTTTTTTTTTTCATTCATGGTGCATAGCTTCTTCAGCTCCCTAGCAAGACCCTAGTATTCTTCCAATTTTCAATATAATTGTAGTCCATTTTTGTATCCCTTGAACAGCAAAGTACATCATTTGACACTTGTTATTCTCTTTTTCTATGACAATAAGGTGGGGTCTTTGTGTGTCAGTAGCATTATTATTATTATTGATATCATTATTATTATTATTATTATCTTCTTTTTCTCAAGAAGATCCTGTGCCCTGATGATCAGGAGCGTGTCATAACAAATGACCAATGGTTTCTGTAATTTCTTCACCTCACTGCATCAACGAAAAAGAGAAGTTAAAACAATAAGAAAACAGAAGATTCCATAAAGAAAGAAAGAAAGAAAGAAAGAAAGAAAGAAAGAAAGAAAGAGTATTAAAGAAAGACAGATTAAAAGGAGATTGCCAAAGACCGAAAGAAAGAGGTAAAGAAAGATCAAATGAAGATTGTCAAAGAAAGGAAAAAAGAAAGAAAGAAAGATTAAGAAGGAAAGAAAGAAAGATTAAGAAAGAAAGAAAGAAAGAAAGAAAGAAAGAATATTAAATGAAGATTATCAATGAAAGAAAGAAAGATTAAAAGGAGATTGTCAAAGACCGAAAGAAAGAGGGATAGAAAGATCAAATGAAGATTGTCAAAGAAAGGGAAAAAGAAAGAAAGAAAGAAAGATTAAAAGAAAAAAGTCAAAAGCCGAAAGAAAGAAGGAAAAAAGATCACATGAAGACTGTCAAAGAAAGAAAGAAAGAAAGAAAGAAAGAAAGAAAGAAAGAAAGAAAAAAAAATGAAGATTGTCAAACAAGAATGAAAGAAATATAGAAGATTAAATGGAGATTCTCAAAGGAAGAAAGAAAGAATATTAAATGATGATTGTCAAGAAAGAAAGAAAGAAAGAAAGAAAGAAAGAAAGAAAGAAAGAAAGAAAAAGAAAGAAAGAAAGAATATTAAATGAAGATTATCAATCTAAGAAAGGAAGATTAAAAGGAGATTGTCAAAGACCGAAAGAAAGAGGGAAAGAAAGATCAAATGAAGATTGTCAAAGAAAGGGAAAAAGAAAGAAAGAAAGATTAAGAAAGAAAGAAAGGAAGAAAGAAAGAAAGAAAAAGAAAGAAAGAATTTTAAATGAAGATTATCAATGAAAGAAAGAAAGATTAAAAGGAGATTGTCAAAGACCGAAAGAAAGAGGGAAAGAAAGATCAAATGAAGATTGTCAAAGAAAGGGGAAAAAAAGAAAGAAAGAAAGAAAGAAGGAAAGAAAGAAAAAGTAAGAAAGAAAGAATATTAATTGAAGATTATCAATGAATGAAAGAAAGATTAAAAGGAGATTATCAAAAGCCGAAAGAAAGAAGGAAAGAAAGATCACGTGAATATTGTCAAAGAAAGAAAGAACGATTAAATGAAGCTTTTCAAAGAAAGAAAGAAAGAAAGAAAGAAAGAAAGAAAGAAAAAAAAATGAAGATAGTCAAACAAGAATGAAAGAAATATAGAAGATTAAATGGACATTCTCATGATGATTGTCAAGAAAGAAAGAAAGAAACAAACAAACAAACAAACAAACAAAGATTAGTGAATAATGTCAAACAAACAAAGAGTAAATGAATATTGTCAGGGGAAAAAAAGAAGATTAAATGAAAATTTAACAGGCAAAAAAAAAAACAAAGAACGAACATTAAATGAATATTGTTAGGCAATAAAAAAGAAGGAATAAATGAAGATTGTCAGGGAAAAAATGAAGATTATATTAAAATTTGTCAAGCAAGAAAGGATTAATTAAATGAAAATTTTCAGGCAAAGAAAGAAAGAAAGACAAAAAAAAAAGAAAGTTAGGATTGGTGTCAAAGAAAGCGAGAAAGAAAAATGGCTATGTCTAATTTTAAATCAGTCGATTGCAGGCTTCCGTTACCAAAGCCAATTAATAAATGATGCGCATACAATAAAATACGTGCCACTCCAAGTTCTGAAAGTGAAGATTGTTGAATGTTTTGCTAAATGCACACAACGATATCCATACAGATTATGCCATATATATTTCTATAGATGTGTAAAGATTAAATGTGTAAAGATGACAAAGAAAGAAAGAAAGAAAGAAAGAAAGAAAGAAAGAAAAAAAAAATTCAGTGTAACAGAAAGATAAGGAGTAAGATTACCGAAGAAAGAAAGAAAAGTAAATGTGTGAGATTTCGGATTAAGAAAGAAAACAAAAAATAAAACGTAACAGTGTCGAAGAAACGTAACAGTGTCGAAGAAAGAAAGAAAGAAAGAAAGAAAGAAAGAAAGAAAAGATGTGTGAGATTTGGGATTAAAAAAAAACAAAGAAAATAAAGCGTAAGAGTGTAGAAGAAAGAAAGAAAGAAAGAAAGAAAGAAAGAAAGAAAAGTAAATGTGTGAGATGTTCAGATTACGAAACAAAGAAAAAAGAAAGATACAGCGTAAGTGCCGCGAAGAAAGAAAGAAAGAAAGAAAGAAAGAAAGAAAGAAAGAAAGAAAAGAAAGATAGAGAGTAAGACTCTCGAAGAAGAAAATAAAAAAAATTAAACGTGTGATATTTCAGACGAAGGAAGAAAACTGAAAGATATAGAGTAATGGTGTCGAAGAAAGAAAAGTTAATGCACTAGATTTTCAGATTAAGAAAAAAAAGAAAGATAGAGAATAAGTGTATCGGAGAAAGAAAGAAAGAAAGAAAGAAAGAAAGAAAGAAAGAAAGAAAGAAAGAAAGGAAAATGTGCAAGATTTTCAGATTAAAAAAAAGAAAAAAGAAAGCAAATAGAAAAATAAGATTCACATCAAGAAAGAAAAACGAAAAAAAAAGAAAGATACACATTAAGAGCGTTGAAGACAGAACGAACGAAAGAAAGAACGCGAGAAAGAAACATAAATAAATGTGTGAGATTTCCAAATAAGGAAAGAAATATGAACAATGAATCCGTAAGAAAGAAATAATCAATGAAAGAGAATAAAATCTGTAAGAACAAAGAAGTAAACATGTTTTGTCGAATAAAGAAACAAACAAAATATATTCATGTCAGTTTGTGAAATAAAACAAAACAAGTAAAACTGTCAAAGTAAGATCGATTAAACAGAATCGAGGCACGTATGGTTAAAAAAAAGAAGATATTATGATCCTTCGTCGACTGACATGGACAACATTCGAACGAACCGAAAATGTTATTTTTCTTGTGAAGCGCAATTGGATGATCTTTCCTTCCAGATAATTATGTGCCGATAAAAAAAAAGTATAAATGACACCAAAAATCATGTCCACATAAAGTTTGCAGCTAATTAGCAACATTTTGATGTAAATAGTATACAGTACGACGTTGATGCTAAAATTTCCAGCAACATTCTTTTGTATAATGTTAAAGAAATCTTAGAAGCGTTTGGACGTTTACTATTCTCTCCATAATCAAATGAAGTACGCCATTGGGTAAACTTAGTCAAAAAAGAGAAATTAAAGAAACGAGATGCACGTAGACATACCGAATAAAAGCCAATTAGAATTAAAATATTTACATTATTCGAACTGTTGAATTCATCTTTATTGCTATATTCACGGCGTTTCGGCCCTTGTAGTTTCCAATCTTCTTCAGCTAATATACGTTGGAATTTCGAAACGAAGTCATTATTTGGTCCACCAAGATAGATTAAATTTCACGCGCCATGCCTTTTTTTAATATCTCAGTTTCATTTAATTCCCTTAACTCAACACCCCAAGTTTTTCTTTCCTTTACTGTGGCCAGGTATTGAACTAACAACTCACATGGCTCAGTGAATAAAAGCATTGGTTGAGTAATCTAAAAAGTTATTTGACCCAAAGTGTTATATGTTCAATAACTGGCCACGGCAGATGGAACAAATACATGTGGAGTTGAATTAAGAAAGTGTATTACCTGACACTGATAATATCCAAAAAAACGTGAAATTAGAACACTCTACCCCCGTGGACAAAATAAAGAGTCCGTTTCGAAATCCCAACCTGAAGAAGATCAAATCGTACAATGGTCTAAATGTCGTGAATATAGCAATAAAGATATAAACAACAGTACAAACGATGTAAATATGTTAAATATTTACAATACATCATCTCAGTAATATAGACAGATATAGAATTAAAATTCTTGTCTTGTCTTTCTCAGGAGATAAAAAATTTTTTGACATAATGGTCCCTCGTGTTAAAGTATTAATGTATTAATTTGAATCAAATAGTAACATTGTCATACCCAAATGAGATTAAATCCCAACGTACGAGGAAAGAAAAGTGTGTGTAGGATTTAAGGATTGCGAAGCTTTAGCCAGATATAGCAGTAATACGCCATTGACTGTCTAATCTGACACTTACAAAAAATAAAGCATGACAGAATTCAGATTTTTTTTTCTTACAGCTGTTCATCCAATACAGGAGCTCAAGAGCAACTGATGGTAACTGTTTACTGAATGGGGTTGATAAAAGATGTCTCGAGACTTAAGCGCGGTATCTTAATCCTGTTAGACAGGAGAAGGCAGAACCTGGCTACGCAGCAGTAGGGCCTGTCGATTTTGGAAGCATGGTATTGCAATCAGTTTTAGAATTGGGATTTGACATGATAAATAACGATACAAAATATTCTTTTCCAAATGCTTACAGACTTTTGAGGAAACCATTTTTAATATTTAATATTAAATTTAGGTTCAAAATCGTTGTGTTGCAATTTCATTCCGATGATCAGTGAACGCCTTAGAGCAAAGACTTATAAAATTTATAATATTTTGAAACTTTACAAATTTTACATGAACAAGATGCATGGTACATGCACATTATTTCTAAATTATTATGCCATCAAATAAGACCTTTATTTGTTTCAAAGAGAAATTATACTGAACAATTTAACTATATTATGATGTAATGTATTATACACTAGCAGTAGAGCCCGGTGTTGCCCGGGGATGTAACAGTAAGAGATAGATCAAGTATCGACCATCATAAAGACTGAAAAATAAAATAGACAAAGATTATTGTTTAAGGTTGACGGACACGCATGTCTTAATTAGTTTTTTTTTTTTTTTTTTTTTACGAATTGGTCAAACCCAAACTCAAACAAAAACATTGTTTTCAATCGTTTATGAGTCTAACGATTGAATAGAATTTTATTATAAACAATTGTCTTGTAAATGGAATTTTTACAGCATTCTGAATGTAAAAATAAAGAAAAAGTGTGCAAGACAATAACACTACCTGCCAAAAAAAAGTGAAGTTTTGTTGAAATCGTTTGAAAAATGTAGGAAATCTAATCCCATGTATAAAGGAACACACACACACACACACACAAAAACAACCTGGGTTTTATAATAAGTATAACTCGATATGAGTTGTCCCCTTTTCATTTTCGCGATGCTTCTTAATCGTGTTTTCAAATTGATTTCGCGCAAAAACAATTGTGTTTTTCCTATTTCGGGCACTGTCAGAACCATCGCAAGGTAATTTTACGTAGTCCTGTGAAGTTATGTTGAAATCGGTTGAAAAATGTAGGAAATCCGATCCAATATATAAACGTACACACACACACACACACACACACACATACACAACCTGGGTTTTATAATAAGTATGATTATAATAGTTTTAGTGCCATTTAAAAAAAAAAAGAATGTAAATTTAAAAAATTTTGTCTTATAATTTATTTCCAGCAGTGTTACACTTTTATCTACTTTTTGGTTTTTACTAATTTTGAACTAACAAGTAATCCAACAAACCTTATTCATTGAGTAGCCCTTTTTCTGTAAAATTTTATAATATTTTAAGAGATTTTAATGCAGTAAAAATGTATATTTTTCTTTGTGGTTTTTCATAATTAGAATTCTGGTTTGAATATATTTTCCATTCAATGCCACTAATACAAACGATATCAATTTTATTCTTGAAATAGTAAAATTTGAAGTCAATTTCAAAACAAAAACCTGTACATATTTTTCAGGCGATAATTAAAACGAAATACTCAAAAATTGATAAAACCGATTAATCTAATTTTTGGTGACTGTACTTAGCATATTAAACTCCAGTTTATACATCGTGTGCAATGTTGATTTTCTTGAGAAAATAAAAAAATCAACCTACCTTAATATGTCAACTGGTTCTGCCCTCTGCGTTCTCTCTTCTCATCCCACTTGTTTTTCTCGCTTCTCTTAATGGCATTTTTCACAGCAATCACCAAACCGTCGTAATTGCTGCATCGCCGTTCAAGGCTACTGCATTGATGCTGTGTACCTTTGGGTAGAATAAATTTAAATGGATGAGCTGCAAAAAATAAATTATCACAACAAAAAGAAATCTAACAAGACAAAAATTCTGGGCCAAATAATTTCAGCACGGGTTACTGGACAATAGTAACGTTTAGTGCTGAAAGAAACGTTCAACTATATTCCAATGCAAAACATTAACTTTGAATAGAAATCGGGGAGCATCATATCCGATGTTCGTTTAACATAGGTGACGCAATTCTTGATTGTAAACTTCTGGAATACAAACATACTATTAGTGATCAATTGGCTCGTTGGAATATCACATTAGAATTTTTTTCTTTGCAAGGAAGTCTTTGCTGCATGACAACGTATGTCTCCGAGTTACAATTTGGACAAAACAAATTCTTACAAAGCCGGATTATGAAATTCTTCCATGTTCTGTACATTCACCAGACATATCACTTTAAGGCCATTTCTTTCACAATTTTGCCTGGTCTGAACTTTTGTTTCTGTCTACAAATACATGTAAAATATCATAGTTTGGTTTGGTTTGGTTTGGTATGTTTTACGGCATATCAAACACAATGCCGACAAGATTTTTATTGGCGTTAATTTTTTTCCAAAAATGCATTTCTGGTAATATTTATTTTCTCCAAAAATGTATTTTTAGTAATAATTGTTTACAAAAATCTATTTAAAAAATCCCCATAAACACTTATCCCAATAAAGAGTACCTCTTACAGAGTAAGAGATACTGTTTATGGGGATAAGTGGAAAAATTTGACCCTAGACTTGAAGATGCTAAGATTGTAGCGGTCGTAGAAACATGATCTTTGGAGTTGATTTCACAATGGAATACAACGAAGGTTCGCTAGAATGTGTCTGGCATTGCGGGTCTTAGATGTGACGGTTAGAACTGATGGAACTAAGGAATGTAGTTCTTCTGGAAACTTTCTTCAAAAATGTATTGCTGGTAACAATTTTTCCGCAAAAAGTTTATTGTTGGTATTAAAATCTATTTTTATACTTTCATAGTATTTTGACCCCAGTCTCGGAGTCAACTATAGCTGGGACCCTAACAGGTACTACCACCCCGAAAATATCATAGAAAATTCTTGAAAAAATAAGTTGTCTTCGACTAAGAATATCAGAATTTAATGAGGTCTTGGATGAAAATCTAGGCGTCCATCAACAACATCATCTGTCGTCTCATGACTAGGTGCAATTGTATTTGTCACTGCCCAGCTGAACACCCGCAGGTTACTTTCATATAACAGAGTTGAAAGCGGAAGTATATACATTCAAGAATGGGGTGGCAATTAAACCTAACAGCGCTCATTTCTTCCTTCCTTCCTTTCTTCTTCTACTTTTTTTCCTCTCTCTCTCTCTCTCTCTCTCTCTCTCTCTCTCTCTTTTTCTCTCTCTCTAAGAGCCGATTATCTTCCAGTTGATGTCTCGAATTTGTCGCTGTTAATTAGATGGGGGGGGCTTAGTTGTCAATGACATGACCATGAAGAAGGTATTACTAGGTTACATGGTAGCGCCTGAACTCAAAAACTGAGCCTGGCTAAACACTATAACTTGGCAAGCAAAAAAAAAAATGAGCCCACTAAAATATGAATTCATTAAAACTTAACTAGACAGCTTTATTTTTTTTTAAATAATGTGCACCCTGTACAAAGCCCAAGAGCCACTCGAGGTAGATTGTTACAGATTAATAGGCACTGAATCATTTAAACAAGGACTCTATCGTTTCGGCATCGAACTTTCCAAAACGATATAACTGTCAATAAATAGGGTATTTTAAAAAACATCTATCGGACTACACTACATTCATTTCGTCTTGGAGATTACCTGTAAATTGAAATATTAGGCCCTGAAGATGACAACTTGAAATTGTCGAAAGTACTAGGCACAGGATCATTAATTCCCTCTATTCAACAATTCAAAATATAAGGATCGCCTTACTCAAGGAATTAATAGTAACTTAATGTCTCATTAAGCGTTATTAATTGTTAGTGAAATTATTTCGCCATTAATTATATTAACATTGCTAATTAATTTTCTGTATAATTAATTCTTTATGATAATTAATATATATATATATATATATATATATATATATATATATATATATACAAATTAATACACAACACACACACATACAAATATATATATATATATATATATATATATATATATATATATATATATGTATTCTCGGGTGAAATAAATTATTACAAGTGGAGTCTGAAAGTGGTCTGTTTTTCTTTAAATTAAATTATTCGCTCTGAATTAACACTGAGCTCTCAGGATTTCATCCTCCTTGGGATTATCCATACGGATTACCAAGATATATATATATATATATATATATATATATATATATATATATATATATATTAAAATGATACTTAACCTGTCCAATGCCCAAGAACCTAACGAGGTAGATAGTTACAGAGTAACGGTTAACCCCAAACTTGAACAGGTTGAAGTTGTAGTGATCGGAGAGGCCTTCTCTACAAAGTGTCGGTTTGTGGAAAGAATTTGCTCAAGTGGAATTTACATCTTCTCAGTGGAATACGAACGGAATAGGAATGGTTCGCTAAAATGTGCGTACCATGGTGGGTCCTAGCCGTGAAGGTAACAACTGGTGAAACTAAAGAATTATTTGTCTTCAGGTCACGAAAGACAATAGCTTAGAAATAAGACATTATTTTATTTCGCTTTTGCGGATTTTATTTCACAATAATTTTCAACATGTACAAAGCCCAAGAGGCAGGGTTACAGAGTAAGAGGTACTGTTTATGGAGATAAGTGGGAAAGACAACATTTGACCCTAGACTTGAAGAGGCTAAGATTGTAGCGATCGTAGAAACATGATCTTTGGAGTTGGTTTCACAATGGAATACAACGGTGGTTCGCTAGAATGTGTCTGGCATTGCGGGTCTTAGATGTGAAGGCTAGAACTGATGGAACTAAAGAATGTAGTTCTTCTGAAAACTTTCCATGCAAATAGCGATAGAGCTGTAACAGCGTTGCGACATTTTGTCTTTAGGAAAAGGGTTGTATTGTGGAAAATATTAGGTTGGTGCAAAAATAATGACGTAATAACGTCGTTTTTTGACGTATTTTTTAACGTCAAAAAACGACATTATTACGTCATTATTTTTGCACCAACCTAATAATTCATCATTTACAGGGACGCGGAAACGTTTTTTGACTACCGAGACTGGAAAGTAAAGACTGGGCAGCTCATCCCCGTATATGGCAGTAGCACGCCATTTTCAGCCTGGCTTTGCTCTTGTAAATGTTCAAGTAAAGCAGGAGGAATTAGGCACTTACTGGAGCGTATAGGGAACTTATCTTTTATCCATCATCTTTAGCGATATATTGCATGTACAAGTGCCACTTGTTTGGTCTGAGGTGTTTAACATCTAATAGTCGCTAACGGTCGAAGTCCTCCCTGAGAGTACACCCCTTCATCGTGATAGGTGAACATTCAAGGTCCACTTGGTGCTGATGGAGCATCTTTAGTTTGGAATTGTCGACAATGTTCTTTCAGGATGAGTATTGAAAATGGAATACGCTGCGCTAGAGGTAGGTCCGCCCAATAACGCCAATTGTTACGGAATCAAAACATTAACCCGCAAACACGAGTTATCTTCTTAAATAGCTTCGTCAGTTTGAAACTTTCATATGGATACCATGCATGGTGCCAAACACGTTAAGGAATACGCAAACTATCAGTTGTATACAACGCATTTTAAAATCAATGGTTAAATGTGTAAGTGAACCCTTAATCTTGACGAAGACCATCATTTTTTTTAAAGCAATTCACCCCAAGGAAGGTGGAAGTGCCACTAGCACGCAAGGGGGTTACAGAGGATTGAGAACAAAAGTAAAGAGGGCGTGTTTGAGGAAAGGATGCAGAGAAGGACGGGAAACAAGATCAAGTTATAAGGTGTCGATTGACATTACATTTGAATATTTGAAGATTATAGTTATTGAGGAAGCAAGTAAGGGGAAGGGAGTTCCACAGACAGGAAGTGCGAGATGAGCTGTTTGAGTAGAAGAGACGGTTATATTTATCTGTTTCGATCGGGTGGAGCCGAGATGCCAGCCTAACAGTACGCTTAAATTTATGCAGACTGGAAACCAGTGAAAGTAGTTCGTCGGAAAAGTTGCCATAAAAATACTTGTAGAAGAGACAGAGGGAGGCCACGGTAGAAAGAATTGTCGTATGTTGACTTATTGCAATAGTAGATATGGATATGGTTACATGATGTTACAGAAAATACGGCATGGAAAATTTCAAGCCCCTTGAATTTGCCATAGTAAATTTAATAATTAAGCAAAGCATATAGCTTGCCAATGTTTTGTGCGCTAAACAAAGATTACATGATCTTCGGAGACTCAAACTTTAGATTTTTGTGTAAATTATTTCAATTGCAGAATAGAAATATTCTTTATAGAAGAGGATCCATATCATCCTGAATGTTACAAAGAAAAGAGCCAATTTTGAAATTGCCAATAAGTTAGTTATATCGAGGAGCTTTTAGCAAATTATTCAAGAAACACGCTAATGTTCTCAATGTATTCTCTAAGGAAAAGTCAGCTAGATGTCAGGAACTTCATAAAAGAGATCAGGGAAATAAAAGTTAGGTTTTCAGTAACCAGCCCAAATTAACGATTTGTCAGCTTATGAATGAATGCAACATCACAAGCGAAGTGTCAATTCATACATTAGGAAAGATATTGAGTAAAAATACTTATCAAGAGCTTGGGCGTTTCAATGTGTTGTAACGGCTAGCGAGATTCTCTGGCTAAATCAGTTACAACTTCAATAGTGAGTTTGCTCCTCACTTTGTGCTCCATATTATCGGCCTTGTGCCAAATTTAAGCTGAGCTTGTAAAATCTGGGAACTTTAACGTGGTGTAATGATTAGCTGGCTAGAGCATTTATGGTTGAGTAATGAATTCGATCCTCACTGTGTGCTACACTCTTTATGGTCTTGTGCCCAATCTATGCTACGCTTAGAAAATCTGGACACTTCGACGTGTTGTATTGGCTAGAAAGCTTGTCTCACTAGATCAATTACGACTGAGTCGTGTGTTCGATCCTCACAGGGGGATCCACATTTTCGACCTACTACGCTTAGAAAATCTAGGAACTTTGACCTGGTGCAATGTTTAGCAGGCTTGAATCGCCATATCAGTCA